AGTGACCATGCCGGAAACAGCAAAGACCGAGTATGTTATCAGACTGTTCAAAGAAAACTGGGTGAGAGCTTTTGGCCTACCAAAGTCTATTGTCAATGACAGGGATGTGCGTTTCACTAGTGAATTGTGGAAAGCCGCAGCTGCTGAGCAAATGACACAGCTGCAAATGACCTCCAGTAACCACCCAGAGGCAAACGGTCAGGCCAAACAGATCAACTGCGCTGTGCAACATTTATTGAGGCATTTTATCAAAGCCCAATCAGGTACACTGGGACGACAAGCTTGCTCTCGTCGCCAGCCTGTATAACAATGCAGTCCACAGCGCCATGGGGGTTAGTCCAAATGAACTACTTCTGACCTTCAAACCTAGACTGCCCCTAGACTTCCTACCACCTGAGAGTCAGCCGGCTGCTGCGCCAGGCACTTTAGAACCCGCCTATCGTTATGAATGCCTAATGCAACAAGCAGTAGAACAGATGCACAAAGCACAGGCGTCAATGATCGAATCAGAAAATCGACATCGCTGCCCTTCTACATTTCAGGTAGGGGACAGAGTCTGGGTCAAAGCTTCTGAACTGGGGCAGGAGCATGGGATGTCCCGCAAGCTCATGCCACAGTATTTTGGACCGTGGGAGGCACTTGATATTGTCGGGGAAGACCCTGACGGACCATCCTACATTATTCGAATACCTGGTCACCTTCGTACTTACCCTGTCTTCCACGCCTCCAGACTTGCACCTTCCAGAGAGACTGATCAGTTCCCCACTCGGGGGTCAATGCTGCCCCCAACCATGGATGGAGAGGTCGATGTTGACTGATCACAGGGAAATGTCGGTTCCAAAACTGACAGGCAGGGGCCGTCCTCCGATGCCAAAGCTGCAGTATCGTGTTCGGTTCAGACATCACCCCGACCCAAAGGAGGACAGATGGTTTACGAGGGAAGAACTGATGCAGACCGCTCCACAGGTTGTCGCTCATTATGAGAAGTCACTGCAAAAGGAAAGCGCCAGATTAACTGAACTTCTCAAAGGACTATCGAAGTATGGAGGAGGGAATGCGAGGCTCAAGGCCTCGGTAAGCCCTTTTCTGGGCCCTGCTTCAGCAAGTACGACCGCCCTAAGTGAAGGCGGGCCTGACAAGTGACGAGAGGCCTAGTTTGTGTTTGACACAACTGGGGCAAAATTCAGGCAGTTACGCAGCGTCAGTTGGTTGAGTGCGTTCAGGCCCTGCCTACCAGTATCTCAGGCCTCCAGGCCTTTTATGAATGTATCAGAGGCAGGCCCTGGGCCAGACACGGGGCATGAACTGAACCCAGCCGCATGGCAGTTGGACACGGATAACCTCCCAGGCCCTGTGGAAGATTCCGGGAGACTGAGGCTCAGCCACTTGAGGCCTACCGGAAGCTTCCGGGGAAAGGCCCAGGCCAGTCAGGCAGCCGATGACTGCCAGCCACTTTCCATAAAGGAAAGGGACTGGCCGCTGGCCAGACATTGGGGCACTCACTGCTTATGCGCAAGCGCTGCTGCGCCAGCGGCTGGAGAGAGTGCCTACGTGCTCACGGGCAAGTAGGGTGGACACAGGCAGCCATAGCCGGGCTGGCCTGCGCATTGCTGGATGGGGCGCATTGTGGTCTTCGGGTGCATGTGGCATCTGTGTGGAGAATCGAGGTTGTGAGTGAAGCCAGGGACATACCTGGTGCTTGATGCGAACGGCACTGGCCAAGATCTGCTCGTACTTCGGAAAGCTGTTGACGCCACTGACGGCATTGTAGGTAGGCGAGATAGGATCTGCCATCTGTAGTCTGGGTGCCGAGCGCCAGACAGGGAAACGACATTGATTTATTGATGATGATGACGAGACTATTCCCACATTGTCATTTGTGAGCTCTGCTGCGCTCTTTTCTATTTTTGCAATTCTGCTTTTGGTTCGAGGTCAAGACTATCTGGTTTCATGTGTATGATGCGGCTTGGTTTCTGAATTTCCCTATCGCTCATTTTCCTTGCAAAAGTCACTTTGACCGTGAAATAATCGCCGCGCCCAATTGGCCCATTTCCATTTTTGCCACTCTGTCATGTGTGGGCTAACAGAAGAAGTACTACTTCAGTGATTTTTCTAGATCAGAGGTATATGAGTGATAAAACACTGATAATTATGAAAAATGGAGGGGCCAGTGGCCACAGATTTCGTTGTGATCATTCCCGGAAAAATAGCAAATTAAAAAAAAAAAACACGTTGACAGTTAAATAATCGCCGCGCCGATTCGGCATATTTCCATTTTTGCCACTCCGGGACCAAGGCCGGGCCCCACACAGACCTACTGGTAGGCCAAGTGCCTATTTGAAAAAAAGGCCTACCAGTCAGTCCCCCAAGTCTGTAAAGGCGGGTAAAGGGGKGGTTCAAGAAGAAAGAAAGAAGAGAAACAGTAGACGACCCTGACTGAAAAAATCACGTAAATGGTGAAAGGGGGCGCAAGCGAACTGTGGGAGAATAAAGGAGCATTTGGATTGCAAAACAAGGCTACATTAATTTTTTTATTCTTCTGTTTTCATTTTGAATTTTTGAATTTTTTGCTCTGCAGTTGAAGAAATTTACGAGGAACAGAAGATGCGTGCATGACTAAGAAGAAATCCTCCACTACAAAAAATGGTGGATTGAAAAAAAAAAAAAAAAAACCTAGAATCAATAGATTTTATTATTGCTCTAACGTTGATAGAGTGTCCTTCGGAACACTGGTCAAAATTTGAACGATACAGAGAAGATTAGCATGGCCTTAAATAAAAAAAAAAGACGATAGTGTGACTGTATCTGAGAAGCTTTCACTTCTTTTCTTTTTTGAACTTCTTTTTTTTTCTCACACAAAAGAGTTGATTGGTTTCACAGTTTCACTAGATTTTCTTTGTTTTTGCACAGGAGAGCAATAGTCGGGTCTGGGCATCAAACCCCTCTATGTCTGTAAAAATAAACACAAAAGAACAATAAAGTAGAACCAGCTGACCTCACAAACTTTCAACAGAATCGGACCACTGGTTGAGTTGCGTCCGTTCCTTTTCACAAGAAAAAACTAAATTGGCCAAAATACAGTAAGTACTAAGCAGTAAATACTTGGAAATAGCAAAACGAAAACAAAAATTTCAAACGAAAGGCAAAAGTCACAAAATAATATTGCAAAACGCAAAGCATGTTCTTAATATCTTATACTTTTTTTCTTTTATTTGCAAGGATATCTGGATCGTAGTCCGTCCTATACTCGTCCCTAACCTGTCAATGACCACCAAGGCAATAGTCAGTAAGATGAAACACACTTTCTGGTTCACACAAAAAAAAAAAAGCCTGGAAGGCTGAAACACAACAGTATGCTCCACCAATGTGCCGGAACAAACTAAGAAAGTCATGAAAACAAAAACAGACTGAAAGAAAAAAAAAGGAAAAAAGGTGAAAGAGCAGTGAAGAGGTTAGAGAAGCAAAATAAACTACGCCTCCAGAGTGGCGGGAACCACTTGCCCGCCTGGACCAATTAAAAAAAAAAACGTTTTTTAGTACTTTTTCGAGTTTGATTTCCCTTCGTTTCTTTGGAACGGTTATTTATATTTTTATTGTTTGTTTCGTGATTTCTTTTCCGTTTTGAGTTTTCTTTTTCCGCGGGCTAAGGCCAACAAACGCATTCACGACCATTCGCAGAAGTGCCCGTTCCAGTTGCTGAATGAAGGACGCCATTGTTTCGTGCTCCCCTTTCGCCTCGAAATGCCTCCCTGTCACCTCCATTCCCTCCCTCAGGAACTTTCTCTACCTGTCTGTCACTCTCCTGTGTCAGTGACGCCGACATGTGTGTTGTCGTGACGAGTGAACGGACAGTACTTGCGTTGCATATCCGCATCGCGGCGACCTCAACGGAATTAAGCATTCGGGTGGGAAGGTCTTACATCGTTTCCACCGCCCATCTCCATCTCTCTCTCTCTCTCTCTCTCTCTCTCTCTCTCTCTCTCTCTCTCTCTCTCTCTCTCTCTCTCAAGTCGTTCCCACCGCCGGTCGCCATCTCTCTCTCTCTCTCTCTCTCTCTCTCTCTCTCGATCATGGACCTCCCCCTGGCCCTGTCCCTGTCACCGCTTGGCCCCCCCCCCTTCACGGCTTGGGGGCAGCCACATGCGGTGTACTACAACTGAACGACCAAAAGCAGAGACAACCGCTCCAAACACATGCACACACACGCACACACACCATGCCACACACTTTGGACGCTCCAATTGCCTCCTATGCCTGACAATGTGCCTGGCATTGGGGGACAAACAGGGAGGGAGGGGGAGAGAGAGAGAGAGAGAGAGAGAGAGAGAGAGAGAGAGAGAGAGAGAGACCTCAACGGAATTAAGCATTCGGGTGGGAACGTCTTACGTCGTTCCCACCGCCCATCGCCATCTCTCTCTCTCTCTCTCTCTCTCTCTCTCTCTCTCATTCCTGTCTCTTATACACATCTAGATGTGTATAAGAGACAGAGCTGCTACAGTCCAGAAAGGTCAAGGTCGTAGCTGCTACAGTANCTCTCTCTCTCTCTCTCTCTCTCTCTCTCTCTCTCTCTCTCTCTCTCTCTCTCTCTCTCTCTCTCTCTCTCTCTCTCTCGATCTCTCGATCTCTCAATCTCTCGATCTCTCGATCATGGACCTCCCCCTGGCCCTGTCCCTGTCACCGCTTGCCCCCCCCCCCTCTTCACGGCTTGGGGGCAGCCACATGCGGTGTACTACAACTGAACGGCCAAAAGCAGAGACAACCGCTCCAAACACATGCACACACAGCATGCCACACGCTTTGCACGCTCCAAATGCCTCCTATGCCTGACAATGTGCCTGGCATTGGGGGACAAACAGGGGGAGAGAGAGAGAGAGAGAGAGAGAGAGAGAGAGAGGGGGGGAGAGAGAGAGAGAGAGAGAGAGAGACCCTCCGAAGTGCCACGCGGAGGCACCTGGAAGCGCAGAGCACCGGGGGTATTTTGTTGTTCCTTTTCTCCTTTTTCCTTTTTTTTTATGTTTCTTCCTTTTTCTTTTTTTTAAAGGGCGACGGCCTTGAGATATCATCATTGAGGTGACTGGCCCCAGCTAATTCAGAATTATGATTTCATCTGGACTTGAACTTGGGTCTGTATTTCAGAAATTCATGGGGTGCACCAACTGAGCTATTCTGTAATGAACCCAGTCTCGTCATCCAATCATGTCGCAGATAACAATGTCGTGAAATGTCGTGAGATAATCAATCCAATAAGTCAATCAATTTGAAGTCATCGAAGGACATGATTCCTCATTCCCACGTGAAAAATCTCAAAGTCCGCAGTACCCAGAAAAGGGAGGAGGGGAGAATAGACAGTAGGAAGGGGAAGTGTGACACAGCAAACAAGCCGCTCTTCTCCTTCGGGCTTTCCACCTCTGCCACGTCAGCAATCTGCACACAGTACGTCATGTCAGCAATCTGCAATCAATGTGCCACGTCAGCAATCTGTACTCAATGTGCCACCTCAGCGCTCTGTACTCAGTATCAGATGTGGACGATGAAGAAGCATTCTCTCGCAGATAAACGATCCTCCCACAGCGAGCAGAATCGGCAGCAGCTTCACATCTGAAGAAATAAGGTACGTATGCACGACAACTCACATTACCCACACCCTCTCTCTATCCCTCATTTCCTCGCCGTCATCTATGGGCGCAGCCTTGGCAGCCCCCTCCCTCTCTCTATACGACGGTATCTGGCTGGCGCCCATGAAGCAGCCTGGAGCCAGCACTCCCTCTCAAGTCTCACGTGCAGCGTCGTAGCTGCAAGCAACTTGCGAGACTGAATGCCCGAGCACTGGCGCGGTCAACTTGATATAGTGTCGACTCGCCTGTCCAGGGTCAGCGTCGGTCCATGTGAGGGCCGGGATCATCTGATTTGTCCCAGTTTGGGTCTGGACTCCGCGAAGCCTGAATCTTCCCGAACGTGCAGATCACTGTTAGATCATTCCAGATCGACAGCCAGGAAATCTTGTGGGTTGACTTCTCGGATCTGGGCCTGGGTCCACGAGGTGACTGTTGACTTTTTGGTCAACTGTCGGCCTGGGCCATTTCCAAGGCCTGTTTGACCCCTCTTTTTCCAGGCCTGACCGTTCGTGCTTGTCTGCAGGCGCGACGACAGCCAATCGGCTCTATTTGGCACACGAGTTACAGCATATTCCATCCTTTTACCTATACTACTAAAGGAACAGCGGTCCTCACGTGGGGCCCAACAGAAACCGGGTGCCTCCACGCAAGACCGGTAACGGGCAGCGGCCAAGGGGGAACCGGTGGCACTCGGGGCGAGGGCCGGAGAAACACCGGCGGGAACTGGCGACAGCCGCGACGAGTAGGTGAAAAAAAGGCCGTGGGGACAGCCGCGACGAGTACGAGGGCCGACTAGCCCAAAAAAGGGTGTGGAACACGGGGTGAACGCCGGAGAAATGTTGGCGGGCGGGGCTGAAGCGACGCGACTGGCAGGGCGTAGCGGCAAATGGCATAGCATGAATTGTGTACCGGTGAGGCGACGGCCGGGGCGGCGTCCTTTCGAGCGGGAGGGGGGAGGAGAGAGAGAGAGAGAGAGAGAGAGAG